ACACAGAAACATTTTTTCAATATCATGGTGAAAACTCTGTGTTACTTTAACTTCATATAGTTTCTACAGTCATGGTGACTTTGACTAAATGTAAACATGTCTTTCTAAAATTGTATGTTTATACCCAGACGACCAAGGTGCCTGGACATGGGTTACACATTGCAACTGTCCGTGGTCACGTGGGCTCCATTCTGAGAAAGCTATGTTATGCTGGACTTTCCCTGTGAAGAATGTGGTCAGTAGATATAGGGGTGTATTTTGCTGGTCCAAATGTTCCGAGTAGTAGGGAAAGTATAACCTTCCGCATTCATGGTGAAGTGTAAGAATGAGTTGCGGGTGCTGTCCACACCCAAAGATACCCCAGTTACCGTAGAAAGGCAGTTGTAGTGTCAGCTGAGGTCGTCTGGAAGTCTCATCTCTTTTGCACTTATATTGATAGATATTAAAAAGCTCCACGCTTCAGATTGAAATGAAGAGATTCACTGTCTCCGTTTGACTATTAGTTTAGCACAATATTCAGTGCAAAGATTTGTAGTTATGGATCTCTGTGGTGTGTACCCGTTCTGGCAAGTAACTTTTGTAGAGGTTTATAACGATTTGCGTATCACTGCCACAGAATCATTGTGAAAACAAAATCAAGACTCTATGGTCTGTATTGAAATGTACCAACTCCAGGAACGATGATTTAGTCTTTTAATCTTTTAGATCCAGTTCAGACGTGCAAAATCCTATTTTAATGAGTTGGTCTTTCAATGTTTCAGATCAGTTTGAGAAGCGCCACTTCCTGGAAAATGAATTGGTCTCTTATGTTTCAGCTCCGGTTGTGACACGCCACTTCATTTTAATGAGTTGGTCTCATATGTTTCAGCACTGGTTGTGACGCACCATTTCATGGAATGATTTGGTCTCTAGTTTTTCAGCTGCAGTTGTGACGCACCACTTCATGGAATGATTTGGTCTCTAGTTTTTCAGCTGCAGTTGTAATGCACCACTTCATTTAATTAGTTGCTCTTTAATGTCTCAGGTCCAGTTGTGAGCACCACTTCATATAATGAGTTGGTCTCTAATGTTTCAGGTCCAGTTGTGAGCACCACTTCATATAATGAGTTGGTCTCTAATGTTTCAGGTCCAGTTGTGACGCACCACTTCATATAATGAGTTGGTCTCTAATGTCTCAGGTCCAGTTGTGAGCACCACTTCATATAATGAGTTGGTCTCTAATGTTTCAGCTGCAGTTGTGACGCACCACTACATATAATGAGTTGGTCTCTATTTTTCAGGTCCAGTTGTGAGCACCACTTCATATAATGAGTTGGTCTCTAATGTTTCAACTCCAGCTGTGACGTGCCACTTCATAAAATGAGGTGATCTCAAAAGTTTCAGCTGCAGTTGTGATGCACCACTTCATATAATGAGTTGTTTTCATATGTTTCAGATCCAGTTGTGACGTGCCACTTCCTACTAATATGAGCTTGTTTTCTTTATGATTTAGTCCAGTTGAGATGCCTCACTTAGACAAAGCAGATAATATTTCCAGACAATAATTTATTCAACATCATGGTGTAAAAATATAGACTCTATAGGCTCGGTGACTTTAACTGAATGTAAGCATGTCCTTCTACAATCGTATGTTTATACCCAGACGACCAAGGTGCCTGGACATGGGTTACACATTGCAACTGTCCGTGGTCACGTGGGCTCCATTCTGAGAAAGCCATGCTATGCTGGACTTTCCCTGTGAAGAATGTGGTCAGTAGATATAGGGGTGTATTTTGCTGGTCCGAATGTTCCGAGTAGTAGGGAAAGTATAACCTTCCGCATCCATGGTGAAGTGTAAGAATGAGTTGCGGGTGCTGTCCACACCCAATGATACCCCAGTTACCGTAGAAAGGCAGTTGTAGTGTCAGCTGAGGTCGTCTGGAAGTCTGATTTCTAGAGCACATATACTGATAGATATTAAAAAGCTCTAAGCTTCAGGTTCAAATGAACAGATACATTGACTCCGTTTGGCCATTATAATCAATGCAAAGATTTCGTGTTATAGACCTCTGTTGTGCATACCCGCTCCGGCAAGTACCTTTTGTAGAGTGTCATCACGATTTGCGTATCACTACCATAGGATTATTTTGGAAACAAAATCAAGACTATAGACAATACTGAAATGTACCACCTCCAGTAACGATGATTTAGCCTTTTAATGTTTCAGAACCATTTGAGAAGCGCCACTTCTTGGTATAATGAGCTGGTCTCTAGTCTTGTAGCTCCAGTTGTGATGTGCCACTTCATATAATGAGTTTGTCTCTTCTGTTTCAACTCCAGTTGTGATGCGCCACTTCATATAATGAGTTTGTCTCTTCTGTTTCAGCTCCAGTTGTGATGCACCACTTCATATAATGAGTTTGTCTCTTCTGTTTCAGCTCCAGTTGTGATGCACCACTTCATATAATGAGTTTGTCTCTTCTGTTTCAGCTCCAGTTGTGATGCGCCACTTCATAAAATGAGTTTGTCTCATGTGTTTCAGCTCCAGTTGCGATGCACCACTTCATGTAATGAGTTGGTCTCTTTTGTTTCAGCGGCAGTAGAGATGCACCACTTCATAACACCCATTAAGATCCAGGGTAGAATAGGTCTTCAGCAACCCATGCTTGTCGTAAGAGGCAACTAACGGGATCAGGTGGTCAGGCTCGCTGACTTGGTTGATGCATGTCATCAATCCCAATAGCGTTGATTGATGCTCAGGATGTCAATCACTGGATTATCTGGTCCAGACTCGATTATTTACCTTGGCAAGCCTCGGAGTGTATCCACTTTTTCAACTCGTGTTGATATATTTAATAGACTCGTTCTTGAGTTGTTGTGCCCCTCGATCAAGTCAACGATGTGTAGCTAGACTCGTATTTGAGTTGTTGTGCCCCTCGATCAAGTCAATGATGTGTAGCTAGACTCCTATAGTTGTTGTGCCCCTCGATGAAGTCAACGATGTGTAGCTAGACTCCTATAGTTGTTGTGCCCCTCCATCAAGTCAATGATGTGTAGCTAGACTCCTATAGTTGTGCCCCTCGGTAAAGTCAATGATGTGTAGCTAGACTCCTATAGTTGTTTTGCCCCTCCATCAAGTCAACGATGTTTAGCTAGACTCCTATAGTTGTTGTGCCCCTCCATCAAGTCAATGATGTGTAGCTAGACTCCTATAGTTGTTGTGCCCCTCGATGAAGTCAACGATGTGTAGCTAGACTCCTATAGTTGTTGTGCCCCTCCATCAAGTCAATGATGTGTAGCTAGACTCCTATAGTTGTGCCCCTCGGTAAAGTCAATGATGTGTAGCTAGACTCCTATAGTTGTTTTGCCCCTCCATCAAGTCAACGATGTTTAGCTAGACTCCTATAGTTGTTGTGCCCCTCCATCAAGTCAATGATGTGTAGCTAGACTCCTATAGTTGTTGTGCCCCTCGGTAAAGTCAATGATGTTTAGCTAGACTCCTATAGTTGTTTTGCCCCTCCATCAAGTCAATGATGTGTAGCTAGACTCCTATAGTTGTTGTGCCCCTCGGTAAAGTCAACGATGTGTAGCTAGACTCCTATAGTTGTTGTGCCCCTCGGTAAAGTCAATGATGTGTAGCTAGACTCCTATAGTTGTTTTGCCCCTCCATCAAGTCACTGATGTGTAGCCAGACTCCTATAGTTGTTGTGCCCCTCCATCAAGTCAACGATGTTTAGCTAGACTCCTATAGTTGTTTTGCCCCTCCATCAAGTCAACGATGTTTAGCTAGACTCCTATAGTTGTTGTGCCCCTCCATCAAGTCAACGATGTTTAGCTAGACTCCTATAGTTGTTTTGCCCCTCCATCAAGTCAACGATGTTTAGCTAGACTCCTATAGTTGTTGTGCCCCTCCATCAAGTCAACGATGTTTAGCTAGACTCCTATAGTTGTTTTGCCCCTCCATCAAGTCAACGATGTTTAGCTAGACTCCTATAGTTGTTGTGCCCCTCGATCACGTCAATGATGTGTAGCTAGACTCCTATAGTTGTTGTGCCCCTCGGTAAAGTCAATGATGTGTAGCTAGACTCCTATAGTTGTTGTGCCCCTCGATCACGTCAACGATGTTTAGCTAGACTCCTATAGTTGTTGTGCCCCTCCATCAAGTCAATGATGTGTAGCTAGACTCCTATAGTTGTTGTGCCCCTCGGTAAAGTCAATGATGTGTAGCTAGACTCCTATAGTTGTTGTGCCCCTCGATCAAGTCAACGAGGTGTAGCTAGACTCCTTTATGCTCAGCTCTCTGGGGAGTATACAACCCATGCTGCCCGTGAGGTGCTAGAAGGTTTCATCCTACCGGGTACCCATGCACTGCTGGGGGAACAGAGGCATATTACGAACAAAGTGACTTGCCCCAGGAGACACCACATGTGCTTCAGTGTTGGGCAGGACCCCCTAGAAACTCTCAGGAGAAGCTGCCGAACTGGTCTCCATCCAACTTTTCTCTGTGACTGTGGCTTAACTTCACCTGATGTGTGACCTCTGCTCTGTGCAATATTAAAGTGGGTTGACAGTGGACACCCTTTCCTCATTGTCGCCATTCAAAGCACTTCATGTCCAAGCAATCCCCAATTTTATTGTCTCCCACAACCCACAGAAAGAGTCATCAGGAGATGACATATCCCCCTGGTCTGGTGCAATTCGAAAATGGAGTTTGGCTACTTATATCCCACCTCTGGCTCATTGCCATTGGATACATTCAGTTCAGTGAAGAAATAATGACTGTTCAGAATTTTTCAATATCCCAAATCCTCAAAAGGCACCAGTTCACCTTTAGACTAATCTGTGTGGCAAGTTTCAGCAAGAAATATTCAACTGTTTGCGAGTTCTGCTCCAGAAATGAGCACTGATTTCAGTATATTCCAACATGAAAACATATAAAGAACAATATAAAAAAACTTCTCAAAAGGCAGCAGATGTCATTGTTACTGACAATCAAATAAAATTAGTTAATTTCAACACCATTTCATCTTAATGACCTTTATTTCATTCTTGATAAATATTTCCAAGCATATGTGGGTTTCATACAATCTTTCTGCTTCATCTATATCTATAATTCTTAACAAATTCTTTGGAATAATATTTGACCTATTGCAATGATTATTAAAATGTTGTAGAGACTAAAAGAGGCAATGTTAAAGAGCTAATGACCTTCTCTCAAAACAATAACGTTAAAAAAAACGCTAAAAAAACATTCTAAAAAGTTTTGCTCAAAAGAATCCAATCCGATATTATTTTGTAGACTAACAAACAAGATTTTGATAAAGTTCTAAAACAAGAGGAAAGAAATTTAATCTGCACTGACACATATATAGAGATGAAGAAACATAACAGCATCTATCATCTCTCCCACATTCAGAGCTTTACATATCAATCGGAATCTGACATTTCAAAATCTTCTACGACATCATCAAGGTCAAGGTCACTGTCATCCTCCATTTGCACGGGTTTTGCCGTCTGCTTCTGCTGCTTGCTTGGCACCTTCTTCTGCTTGCCTCGTGCTGGCTGAGGTTTCTCCTCCTCCTCCTCATCGTCATCATCATCATCATCGTCATCGTCATCACTGGCTGACTGAGCTAGCTGTTCCAACTCATCACTGTCAAAATCACTGAAATATTCAAAAGATGAGACTATGATATAATCAATCCTGTCTTGCTCATTCATAAACTGACTGAACCTTGTTTAATGCAGCACTTTATTCCAGCTATTTCATAGATGCCTGTAAAATATCGAGTCAGTAATAGTTAGAAACAATCCAAGCCATCAGATACAATGACACACTATCAGCCACGTCACCAAGACCACCTGATCGTCCGTAGTCGTCTCTAAGAGCAGTGGATACAGGGAGACTACCGGTATTCTTTCCCCAGACCTCACCATGATATATTATATTATGATGATATACCTTCATGTCTGTATTAACAGTTACAAACATAACATATAATATTGACACAAACACTTTCTAACCATTAAATTCATGGGCATCTTTCACAGATTTTTAGATATTTAGCTACAAATTTTATTTTATTTGCTGCAGAATTAGAAGAATTTGCTGCAGAACTGCTTTCTGGGTAAACAACTTTACCTGTAATCCTGACTGTCCTCAGAGTCTCCTGGGGATGTCTTCTGTTTCTTGGCAGGGCGTTCCTTGCGGGGCAGAAACCTGTAGAAGAATGACTTTCTGATTTATTGAATTATTGCTTAACAAGGTGCAATAATGAGAGGGGGAATTTACTTGCACAATCTCAGATCGTCCAATATTTGATACGTCCTAACATCCAGATCTGACAATTTTTATGATGGTGCTCCCTTTTAGGTTTAGAGTAAGTGAGTGAGTTGGGTTTAACGCTGCTTTTAACAGTATTACAGTTATATCGCGGCGTGTTAGCTTAATGTTGGAGGAAAGCCCGAAGTGATGCAGGTCTCAGACGTTTACCACTTTGGTAAAACCCACGAGCACGGGTATGGTGCTGACAAACCTAGAAATATAATCGAGATGAACTGGGATTCAAACCCACAATCATAGGTTTCTGGCATGCCCAAGGGTCGCAACTCTGCACAGAGAATTGAAGCGCCTTAGACGACTGGGCCACCCGTGCTCCCTTTTGGGTTTAGATGCCAGGGTACTCAGAAAGACAGGGTTTTTAAACTATACACATATATGTCGCCTCCGCACTGATTGGTTGATTAGATCGTTCAGTTGATGAGTCAGATGGAGTGTTTGTCAGATCTTGATAAAGAGAGGTAGACCTACTTTTAATGAGATTGATAGTAATTGTTTGTTGTCTGATTGTTTTGATTGCCTTTAACCAGTCCATACTGCCAAATGCAAGGTCATTTTAAGTTAAAATTGAAAAATTCAAGGCCTATCAAGTCCAGGCTGCTAACTTCAAGACCTTCTCAAGCCTTTGTGAATCATATAACAACACAATCTACTGAGTGACAACACCAAGTCCCATACCTGGTTTCATCATCGTCGGACTCATCGCTGTCAGAATCAAACAGCTCCGAGAATTCCTTCCGATCTTCTGCTGTGGCTTTAGGGATGACCTTTGGCCTCTCAATGGTCGGGATGTTGTCGTCCAAGCTTATCTGCAGAAACAAGGCAAGGAAACTAACTTTAATCATCAATACTGAATAGGCTTGTATCCAGGTCTGGAGGAGAGTGATTGAGTATGGTTTATGCCGCTTTTAGCAATATTCTAACAATATGGTGAGGTGAGGTGAAATTGGGTTTAACGTCGCGTCTAAGATTATTGCACTTATATAGCGACGTGCATGTACGTGTGTGTGTGTGGCTGCTTGTTCTAGTCCGGACTGATGCCTATTTATAGTGCTAGCCCACTGAGATACCATGCCTCAGTTTAACATGAATACCCCACTCAGACACAGTATACTGAGCCGACCAGTCTTGTTTTAGCCCCTTAATGCCGAGCGCCAGACAGGGTAACAACAAGTACCATCTTTTAACGTCTTTTGGTATGACAAGGCCGGGGATTGAACCCCGGACCTTCCGCTCTCCGGGCGGACGCTTTACCACTAGACCAAGGATCTAACAATATGGACACTGGAAAATGGGCTTCACCCATTGTACCCATGTGGGGAATCAAACCGGGGCCTTCGATGTGACGAGCCAACGCTTTAACCACTAGGCTACCCAGGATTCTTTGTGTGATCTGGCTATTTATGTAATGGGAATATTAATGTAATCATGATATTTGTCAGGGTTGGATTCCCCACAAGCGTAAGTTTGAAGCCTATTTCTCATGTCCCGTGGTATGTTATTGCTAGGGGCGGTCGAGTAGCCTAATGGTTAAAGTGTTCATTCGTCACGCTGAAGACCCAGGTTCGATTCCTGACATGGGTACAATGTGTGAAGCCCATTTCTGGTATCCCCTGCCGTGATATTGCTGGAATATTGCTAAAAGCGGCGTAAAACCATACTCACTCACTCGTTCACTCAATCATTCACACTGTATTGTTTCACCAAATTGATTACTGATCTGCACATACGCTAATATTTCTTCTTATTACCTCCAAGGGCAAACATATCGGGGCTCATAAAAAACATACGTGCCCTAGGGTCATATATCACGTCAACAACAGTGTGTTGTTTCCGTCATCCGGATCGCATTGTTGACATCATTCGAATCTTATTGTGACGTGAACTCAGAATGACATCATACTAGGAACGAACGTCATAGCTCTGCTGTCGTTGCAACTTGCTGTTCTTATAGGTTAACACTAAAATTTGACTCTGAATGTAGACATCTTCTTCAGCAGTAAATAGAACATTATATTCGTGTTAATGTAATACTATGTTAATGACACTATGCCTAAATTCTGGCCCTCGCTCGGGAAATACCGGAATTTAGACACTAGCGTCATAAACATAGCATGACATGAACACTCATATAATATTCTCTATTTGAGAACATGTAAGTTAGCAGTCAGGAATAATTTTGTTGTATTTTGCAAATGATTTTTTCTCACATTTTTATGTATGCTTGGTGGAATCCTCTTTCCAATTGAAAAAATTCTCACTTTAATATGGAAGGAAAGCCAAAATGTCCTTGCAATTTAACAAACATACAGTGACCTAAGCACACAATAAGTGCAAATCTTGGACTCAAACAGAAACAGATCCTGTTTACAGTTTGCGACTTGGTCTGAGGCTTGAGTCTGTTAAAATTTATCTTGGTTTTGTAAGCTCAGCTAAAAATAATCCGTAAATTAAGACTAAATTCTGCTGAATAAATCTCTGAAGGACAAGATTGGGCTTTGTGGCAAAAATTATTTTGGCACAACACTTAATGTATGTGTCCATCCTACACAGTAGAAGAACCGCCTACCCTGTCCTTTCCAGCGATCTCGTGCTGTAGCTCCCGGTCACGGAGCTTCCTCCAGCCGGTGTAGTACTTAGTCAGAGGGGCACCTGCTGCTGAACACTGTCGCTCCCAGGCTTCCTGAAGTCATCAATCAATACAAAAAATTACAATGTTCATATTTGCATATATTTTGTTAGATTTAAAGGAACAGAATTAATCTTTACGAAGTAACATAATTATCATTGGACTGTATATTTTCCCAGTAATCTAATGCTTGACAGATAAAGCTGTACAAAATCTTTAAAAGATTCCAGAAATATGTGAAATTTGCAACAAAAAACAAAGGGGACAATTATATTGTAATTTTGAATACCCATTTTAGAAGCTGGATAAAAACATTAGGAACACTTCAAGGGGAATAACTCATGTGTGTTTGTGTTGATGCTGACAAGTTTGGTGGTAGAGTGCATGTTGCAGAAGGTCTAACTGTACATTTAAACAAGGTTTACCCAAGAAATTCATCCTTCTTGTTAACAAACTTGAAATTAAAATGCATAGATACTGCTTTACAAGCCTGAAATGCAAGACACACTGAACCCTGAAACACACAATCACCGTATTCGACGTAATAAGCGCCCATGGCGATATTTGCTAATATACTGGCTAATGAACAATCCCAATTAGCACCCCTTCTGATTGATAAATGTACACAAGACTGTTTATTTGTGGTGCATAGAACGTTTGTTATATGCACCCTTAATTATGGGCAATTAAATTCTGGAAAATATATGTCGTATATAAACATTTCAGCATAAACCACGAAATTTACGCTCTTTGAACTCTGTTGTTTTTCACCAAAATAATATTCTAATAAGAGCCCCCTATTTCTAATTTTGAGAGCGCCCTGGGCGCTTATTATATCGAATACGGAAACTAGAAGATGCTCATACCACAGCCTTGGAGTCGCTAATAGCAAAGGTTACAGCCTTCCTGCGCTGTGTGATGAACTTGACGTTATCTTCCACCTTGTCCACGATCTGACGAATCTGCTTGCAGTAGTTGGCGATCTTACATTTCTTTAAAAAGTCCTTCAGCTGTAAGTATGGGAAAGCGAGTCTGTGAGGAGTTTTCACTTAAAGGGGCTACTTCCTGGCTGTCAAACCCTGCCTGCTAGGGCTCACTCGCTGCGGTGAGCCAAATTTACAAATTGCCTGAAAATCGGTCCTTTTATTCAACAGACTGACTAACAATTATTAAGACAATCAAAAGGGCTTAAAAACATCACAACAGACTTATTATAATAGGATTAGTAGCCAAAAAATATAGAAATAGGATTTGGTAATGTCCTCAGCTATAGACTGCAATCGCTTATAATTTATTTCAAAACAAAACGAGAACATTTCCTCACCTGCAACATGGCGGGCAGCACGAGTTCAGGGAAGCCGATGGAGCTAGCATGATTGTTGAATTGTTCCAGTAGTAGCTCGTACAGCTGGTCCACAAGCCCATCCTGGAAAAACAGATTTCACGATGAAAGTTTTATGGGGATATTTTTTTTGTAGTGATTGTTTGTTGTTTAACAGTGCACTCAGCAATATTCCAGCTATATGACGGCGGTCTGTAAATAATCGAGTCTGGACCAGACAATCCAGTGATTGACATCATGAGCATCGATCCACGCAATTGGTATACGATGACATGCATCAACCAAGTCAGTGAGCCTGACCACCCGATCCTGTTAGTTGCCTGTTACAGCAAACATAGTTGCCTCTTACGGCAAGGATGGGTTGCTGAAGACCTTTTCTACCCCGGATCTTCACGGGTTTTGTAAGTTGATAGATTGCTACCTTGAAAACCTTCTCTTCCTGTTGCTTCTTAGAGAACTTGAGGATGCAGGCAAAGTTGAATGGCTTAAAACTGACAGACTTGTGCTTTTTGTTGAAATCAGTCAGCTCAAACACCTGAAAAATAAAATATAAAAATGTAACTAAATATGAGAAATGGAATTCAAAAACAAACAGCATGTTGTCTTCAACAATCTCACCTGAAATATAAAAAAAATAAATCATTTTCAATGATTTTATTATGTATTGTTTTCAAAGGAAGTTTCATTACATACTATTTGAAGCAATTTAAAGAATGCCTACATTGGGAATGCTGTGTGTTGTAGTCAGAGAGTTAGTGAGTATGGTTTCACGCTGCTTTTAGCAATATTCCAGCAATATCACGGCAGGGGATACCAGAAATGGGCTTCACACATTGTACCCATGTCGGGAATCGAACCTTGATCTTCAGCGTGACGAGTGAACGCTTTAACCACTAGGCTACCCGACCGCCCCCTGTGTGTTGTAATACCAACCACCCATGACAGATTAACTAAAGTTATATGAAAAAAAATGCACTTTTGAGTAGTATGTGTATTGTATCATTCTCAAATATCATATGGTCAGGTATATATGTATGCATTCAGACGCATAAAATTAGCACATTTTGTTCTTGCTAGAGTTACCTCCCTTATATCACTGAGCCACTGCAGACTGGGGAGTTGCATCATTTCTTGGCTCGGTGCCAGCTCCATGTTTGCGTGGAGTTAACGAGCTCTAACGAGTCAACAGAGCATTTAACCACACAACTAGCCTACTGAAGAGCATATTCATAATTAATGTTCCCACCACTGTACTGGTTTGCACTGGACTCAACCATACTGTACTTTTTAAGACGCAATGAGAAAACGAACATGATGGTGAACAAAACATTTCACTTGCAGCCAGCGCCTCAAACATTGTTTTGACATCACGTCTGCTATCCTAAGAATTCCAGCACTATTAAAAAAATATTTTGTGTTGTTGCTGTTTTGTTGCTGCTTTCATCTACAGAGACAGACAGACAGACAGGCAGGCAGACAGACAGACAGAATTTATAAGTCTCACCCTAATAAAATACAGCAATATACATACACAACATACATCAGGTAGGGCCACTCTATATGGAGTTATGAGAGACTAACATTTAGTCCCAGTGATAAAGTTATCTTATTTAAATATATATGTCGACAAAATAAAAAATAAAATCCAAATGGAGCCAGCTTAATTTTAGGACCAGCAAAACATTCTAGACGTGAGATGGATTCATTTTTTAATTTATTCTCAAGTGTCTGGAAGCCTGTCCTTACTGTCAAGAGAACTGCATAAACAAAATAACAAGGAAATCAACTTTTATTTATCTTCCAGCCATATGGATTAAGATTATATTATCACAGTGCAAATAATATTCCTACATAAAGTCTGTTGGTTGGATGGTTGGTTTGTTGTTTAACCCCGCACTCAGCAATATTCCTGCTATATGACGGCGGTCTGTAAAATAATCAAGTCTGGACCAGACAATCCAGTGATTGACATCATGAGCATCGATCCACGCAATTGGGATCGATGACATGTATGAACCAAGTCCGAAAGCCTGACCCCCCGATCTCGTTAGTCGCCTTTAACGACAAGCATAGTCGCCTTTTACGGCAAGTATGGGTTGCTAAAGACCTATTCTTAAAGGCAATATGTTCACGTTAATTGCTCTGAATTAACTGTGTTTGATATTTTCAAAATGTGATCATGTATTTTGGATATTCGGTCTATATATCCATACCACCACATATTTTATTGATGAAGTTAAAGATACCGTCATAGTTTATTAAAACATAATCACATTAGAAATTTCCATGTGTCGGCGTTATGCCATCAGCTAGACAATCACCAACATTTAACTGTACACAAGGGACTATCTGTGGTCGCAATCACTTATACACGTCAACCAGTTTAAAATAGACTGAAATAGCAAGCAGCTGTCAGATTATTGATTGACAGTAAATATGGAAATATGAGGATGTGGAGTGCTGAAGCTTTGGCCTTTCCTTGACAAAATGCCCACGCAATCAGCAGCCATTCTGGAAAGCTGACATTTGAAAAACTTTGTGTGCTAATGGGAGCTAGGCTATAACCATTATATTACATGCCTACACAAACCCTGTGATCAATGTAACATAATGTAACACAATGTAACATGCTGACCATTATAGAGTGGCTGTTAGAACACACTGTTATTTCTTGTGAATAGACCCAGCTATGGAGCTATATTGGGACAGGGCTTGTTTAACATGTTTAACAGTCTGTGGAACCCATTTCTAGGAATTGATTAGGGATAACTTCTGTGTTTACATACATTGTACTTGACATTTCAAAATAGCCTTGCATACCAATATTTTTATTTTTATAACAACACTGAATTCTAAACATCAAAACAGTATATGCCAATATGCTCGCAGGAAACATACTATTGAAAAAAAAAAAACTTTCAAAAATTTGAAACTAAAAAAGCCGGTTTATCTTGGGAAATGTTTGTTGTTTAACACAGCATTGAGCAATTATTTATGTATGTGACCAGACAATCCAGTGATTGATATTATGAACAATGATCCATGTTGTCGGGGATGATCGATACCACGCAATCAACACCCAATCCAAATTCCAAAACACCCAAATATAGCTCAACCGTTATGGCCAGAATAGCTTGCTGGAGACCTATTCTAACCCGTAATACCCAGTGTCCAAGTAAATGGTCTATGAAATGGTCTGTGAGGGACAATATTCCCCATGTTTCAGAATGATGGTATTTCTAGAAATATTTAAAAAAAATGGGTTTTTTTATCTACAAGGGTGGGAAATTAAAGACAATAACAAAGAGCCTTGTTTGAATTAATTCAGTGGAACTAAGACTAATGTTATTGGAATAGTCATTAATCTATTTAATGTTTATCGTTTGACAGAGAAAATCTCAACATCTGTGATCAGATTAATGTTTCTGGTTCTGGTACTTGGGTATAAACGCATTAAGAAACACATTATCTCTATTTTTTTAATTAATACAAACACACATTTGTTTCAACGATAAAAAAAGAAGAGAAATAAAATGGATCTTTATTAAAAAAAGAATAAGAAAGAGTTGAACGTTAAATATTCGGTAAATCCCCCCAAACAAAACAAACAAATACCCCCAAAAAACAACAACGAAACAAAAACCAACAACAAACAAATAAAAGAACCATGGTGTTACACTCTGTAATACGTACACAACACAAAAGGTCAAGGTTCAGATACTTCATAACAAACACTCCCCCATGTCCTGACGACGGTACCCCATTGAATGGAAAACCGTCACTCCACTCTACGCACGAGTGACACTGAGTCACTTAGGGTAATGCGTTGACATTAACAAATAATGCCTTGGTTCAATACCTATAATCCCGCCATTGATGAGCGATTACAACCACCCAGTCCGTGGGAACCTGAACAGGCTGCATATTTCATAGTGAGACTTAGACCCCTGGGACAAGCAGCGGGTTACCTGGGTACATGTTGTCATGGCAACCAGGTGAATATAAGGTGAAGAGGCAGTTAATGAATCAATAACCTTTTATTGGGAATGGCTGAATTTGGATTGATGAATGACGCAATACAATGGGAGATCAGGTTCAGAGTGTTTAATCTTGTTTGTTGTTTTTCTAGAAGTGAGACAGATAGGGGTTGGCTTTGGTCCGGAATTGTTTGTCTTATCTGAGGTAGTTATTTCCAGACACAAAGTCAACTTCAGTTTGAATCATATATCATTGTCTTTCATAACAGAGAACATTTGAGTCGACATCCTTTGATGTAAATTACTCCAAAAATAGTTAGACTTATTGACACCCATAAATATGATTTATGGAAGTACAAGTGCAAATTAAGAATGACTGAATGTCAAAGCTAAGATCCATCATGCCTTTCACAGCATCATTAAAGGTACAACATAATCATCTCTTTAAAAAAATAAAACAAAATGACAAAGACGACCTTTTATTATTCTTGGGTTGTAGTGTCTGGTATGTCGGGGACAAAATATTTTGCTTCAAGACATAAACAGTTTTCAGGACATCAAAGATTTTAAATTTAAACCTGAGTCAATTATTTTATTTCAACTTTCTGGAAAAATCATTCGATGAGGATGCGACACACAGACTGCAGTATTACAGTGAGACAAGAAGAGCATGCAAGGAATCAAAGGTGAGGTGAAATGGGGTCAAGCATCTCGTCCAAGATTATTGCACTTATATTGTTTGTTTGTTTAACGCCGCACTCAGCAATATTCCAACTATATGACGGCGGTCTGTATATAATCGAGTCTGGACCAGGCCATCCAGTGATTGACATCCTGAGCATCGATCCACGCAACTGGGATACGATGACATGGATCAACCAAGTCAGTGAGCCTGATCACCCAATCCCGTTAGTCGCCTCTTATGGCAAGCACAGGTTGCTGAATATCTATTCTACCCTGGGTCTTCACAGGTATGCACTTATAAAGCGACATGCATATAAGCCGACCCCGAGGTATTAACTTGACTATTGAAATATGAAAGAACAAGATATGACCCGTAGATAAGCCGAACCAGGAAGTGAAAGACACACCGCAAAGATGACTGCAAGACTCTGCCGGTACTTGCAGATAGTCAATAATATAAGATGAAAAATGTTGTAATTATAAAAGTCGTTATAATTTTTAACAAGAGTTTGCCACTAACGTGGCTATATCCCCCGCCCCTGTTGCAGAATTTATGATATAATTAAATCTAAAGAAACCCTAATCTTTTTTAACCGAGGTGGAACTTGTCATGGAAATTGTAAAAAAATTAAAAATTCTAAAATTTCTAAAAAGCAAAAGGCACCAGTTCAGCATGTACCTGACAGACCTGCAAAGTTTGATGAAAAAATATTGAACGGTTTATGAGTTATGCTCCGGAAACGAACCCTACCCTCACAGAACCTAAGTCCATCTTGTTGCCATGGAAACGTAAAAAATAAAAAATTCTAAAATTTCTAAATAGCAAAAGGCACCAGTTCAGCATGTACTTGACAGACCTGCAAAGTTTGATGAA